CATGTTCACCGTAAGCTTCGACAAGCATTCGATGCGATTCTGCAGCAGTTTTCTTCAAATGATAACAAAAAACCAATGCTGTCCGCAAATCGTAGTTCGTAGGCACAAAACTCGACATGTTTAAGGTTATAGAAAAATATACCGGTGTATGGAACTTGGGTTGTTGTGTGTTGAAAATCTTCGTCAGCTGTTAGAGAGAGATGATGGTGCTGCAGAAGCGGTCTTACGGTCCCTAAACTGATGGCTAGTACCATCTATAGGGAAATTCCGGTTTCATACTTCTACACCTGGTACGCACAATATATGTAGTCGCGCAGGTATAACACATTACATAATGGTTGAGCAACGACGTTCGACGATAACGATGTTATTAGTTACAGACAAGTTAGAGAATAAAACACACACACACACACACACACACACACACAGATTCTATTTCGCAAATAGCCGGCCAAGACTTTTTAAATTTTCGCATTAAAAATTCCGCGCTTTCCTCTCACGAGAGCATAAATATTTCACGTTTCACTTAATTAATTTTGCGACATCTCTCGACGAACTGTCGCTATTTCACGATTACACGATTTCGGTAATCCCGCATTTATCATGATGCGGTTTGACGAAAATCCTATGAAATTATTACAAATTTCGCGGCCCAGTAATGGCAGCCCACGTCGATCAGACGTCATTCCCGCGGGTCGGTATCAATCGCGCCGCTTATCCCTTTTTATATGTATATATATATAAAACCGGCGTTTTTCACTTTTTATTGAAATGCATCACTCCGATATTCGACTGATGAATATGAATCGCGCGGCCGCACTGTATGTATCGCGCGGGCCCCGATTCCGCGGCAATATTTATTACACCGACACGCTGTCGCAAATAAAAAAGAAATAAAAGGGAATATCAATCCGTTCCATTTGTATCAATTTCGGAAATACATATTTTATCATTTTAATTTTCTCGCCGATCGCGAGGGAAAGAGGCAGAATGAGCGAGAAAAAAATACACACGCGCGCAGAAACATTCATCGGACGGAGTGACTTTCCCGAGTCGAAATTTTAGTCTTACGTTAAGTCTACTTAGTTTTATATTAAGTTCTCAAGTGGAGAAAATGGAAATAACTTCCTATTTAGTATTGTAGTATCAAAAGAACACAATAGAACGCCTAATGAAGATTTAATGTAAACCTTGATGGAAATATTTTGTTGAAAGTATGATGAAATCGGTGAAAAGTGAAGTGAAAATTATTGAATAATTACTGAATATATTTTTAAAACGAATCATAATTTCCCCGATGAATTTTAATGTAATATTATGTAATATAAAGAAAGTTAAGTTATGCTGTTGAAAAGTAATAAAACACAAATTCTTTGAAATATTGAAATGTCACGAAATTTACTGAATTTAACTGAAAACTGAATTTTTATTCGGATATTGATGGGACAATAATGAAACTGAGGCCCACTGAAAGGGAATTTCAAATACATTTCAGTAGAAGTTTCATTATATTTTCAGTAGAATATTTTCCATCGATGGAGCCAAGTAGACTTAATGTAGAACTGAAATTTCGGGTTCTTATTTTTTCGAAAATCCACTAATCACCCGATACTGTCTCACCTGATCTCCGGAAGCTGCACGTCCATTAGGGCCTCCAGTGGCACTCCTCGAAGGCAGTCGGCGATATCCTCATCACCTTCGGTAGAGCAGCCTATTTGCTCGCCGATCTTCGTCCTGAGATCGTTCGGATCGTGTACCGAGGCCCAAGGACTTAGCGCCGAGCCGCTCGACAGCACCACTCGGTGAAATAATCCTGTGAAGGACAGACGGTGTTCATCCACGCGTCCAGCCACAAACACACGTGGACACACGCGCATGGACACACAGAACCTCGAAGCGGACAGGAGGAAGGATCCCTTTGCGACGGTAAGCCCGCACATCGTATATATCGAATGCGCAGCGAATACGGCAGGATATCATCGGCTTCCGGCCGATCGGGCGGAAGCGACGAGCCCGACGGGAGTTAACTCGAACGGTTATTATCCCCGCATGGATAATTAGAGGTAGACGTAAATACACGGCCCGGAATTGTTTTTCACAACGGGAAGGGTTGAAAATCCGGCGGATCGACTGACGCGACGCGATTATCGGGCGATTAAAAACTATTACGCGGTGAGCCGCGATTGAATTACGTTAACGAGCTGTTATATAAAGAAGAGGAAGAGGAGAGCGAACGAACGAAGGAGGGAGAGCGAGAAAGAGAGAGAGAGAGAGAGAGAGAGAGAAAGAAAGCGACGAGGAGAGGAAAGAATTGATTAACAATGTTTAACGTTCGTTCAAATCCGCAAGAAGAAATTCGTTGGATTAGTATCGAAGTGGCATGTGTACTCTAGAATCTCTCAAGTAAGTTTGAGTATCTCCGACTTTTTGATCAAAAAAATGGCGACTCACTACGATGTCTCTCTATCTATGAAAAGTCTCTGCGATGCATCGAGTTCATATTTTTCTGAAAATATAGAGGAGAAGACGTGGTATTATGCCCCCTTCCCCTCCCACTTAAATTGTGTATAATCTAATTAGCTGATGATTATTTCTGTTGTTTTCCAACAGGTTACGAGTGAGTAAGGATTTCATAACCATGTCTTTGAAATCTCTGCTTGCACGATTCTGTTGGAAAATAGCAGAAACAATCGATCAGACAATTTACCCCCTAACTAACCCCGCCACTGCTATTTAAAAATGAGACAATAAATCAAAATTAAAGGTACGTTGTTCCATAAAAATCTTAAAAAAGCAGAAGTGCCGTTGCATTATTGTGACTGGCAGTTGTCTCTTCATCTCGTGATTGTAATGTCTTTTTGTTCGACCATCAACTAACTTTTGCCTATCTAGCCAGCTTAAAAGAAGTGACCGTCACATTACGGGCTGGTAGCGACGTCAGACACAAATCTACCGCCTCGCTGGCTGGGCGAGGTTCAATCTCTATCCAGAGATATGCGCGTACGCCCCGCGCAATCAACGCTCCAACGTTAAAACGCGGAAAATCAAGCGCTAATTAAAAAGGATCCTACGGAACGGTAATTAATCTCGCCGTTAATGAGCTACATTTTATGACGTAGCGTTGCGGCAAAATGAAACGGCGGCGTAATATCGCGTTTGATAGTATCGCGCGCGCCCGCCGGTCGCGGAAAATCATATTCGCCGGCAAACATTTATGCTGACGCTAAAGTCGTTTATCGAACGTCACTGGTTTCTTTATGAAAATCGCTGTTTCGAATGCAAACATCGCACGCGCGCTCGCAACATGCGCTTTATCCTGTGGCGAGGAGAAATATGTGTCCAACATAAACATTCGCATCGTTGATGCGCCGTACAAATATTTGTATTTTATGACTTTACATACTCGACGCGCGCGCGCGCGCGCGCACACGCGGTTTAATTTCTCAAAAGTAATATTCGCTCGCTCATCCGCAGATATAAATCGCGGTGGATCTGAGCAACGTGCGCTAACGCGAGTCGATATTTCGCCGGGGTTGCGCTTTATTGTCCGCGGTTTTCCCATTATATCGGCGAAATCCGGCCAATTGAGCGGGACAAAGACGTTATTAAGCCGTACCGAAATTTTTCCCGCACGCTCCCGCATCGAACGCGGCGCGAATCAGAGAATACGATCGCCGGTCTCCGCCGGATAAATTTCGGTATTTTCCTCAAATTTCGTGCCCGGCTAAGCTCGCGAATATGAAATTCTTCCCACCAGGACGATATCTGCTTTTTACAACGTTAGATAATTTGCGACGGAAGAAAAAGTCGAAATGTTATTAATGGGCGGGAAACTAATCGAAACGTCGTGGGTGAATAAGTTCAGAGAAGAACAGTTCGACAATTGGTATGCGCCCGTTTATCGTCAAATGTTATTATTCTCTACTGATAGGAATTTATTTTTGGCCTCAATTATATAGGAGAAGAACACTAAGACCGACATACCATTTTGATTTTAGGCTCTATCAATTGATTTTATATGTAATATAAATTTTTTACCATATAATTTAGAATTATGATAATATAATTACAAATATCAAATATTTCTCCATCGGTGTAATATCAAATTTGTATTTGGAAAGATCTGTCGTTTCTCTATTGAATTCCAGCTTCTAGTAGTTAATTCTTATTATTCAGGTATTAAAAAAGTTTCGTCATCGTATCCCTCCTAGTACGAATTTCCCTCCCGTTTTTCTCGCGCGTATAATTCGTGGGCGTATTATACAATCGGCAGAATATCATTATCGCCCCCATTCGCATTCATAGAACGCGCGGCGTTCGTTTCGCCGCCAACTATCTGGGAAACGTCGACTCATTATATATTAAATCGGTTCGAAGTTATTCCAAAACATAGTCGAGTCGCGGATGCGTTTAACGCGGCGATTCTGGCTGCCAACGAGCCGTAAAACCCGAGAAAGAAGTCGCGAAAGAAGAGCGGAGAAGACGGTCGACGTGTCATATAGCCGCAGTTTCATTTCCGTGGGAGTGCATTCGCGGTGCAGTGACCCGAGGGTGCCCCTTTTGGCTGCTTTATCGCCATTATTATTAAGCCTCCATCCGCGATACGCCCTCCTCCTCCTTCTGGAGCGCTGCCAATGCGTGTGTGCAACACGAGGGAGAATCTCGATCATCTTGATATTCCGTCTGTATCTTTAACTTCGGTCAGCACTGTTATTGATTACCAACACCTTGGATATTAGTTGGACGATGCTTAATCGAATGAATTCAAATGAATGCACTTTGCAGAGCTTTGAGTGATATCTTACAAGAAATGATTCATACAAGAAATATTGATCCAAATGGCCGAAAAACGGTCCATGAATAAGAATCTGTTATTAATTATGTTATTAAATAATTGTTAGGACAGTAGTTTATATAATGTGAAATTTCAAGATTCGTCATTGGTTCTTCAACTTCGACGGAACTTGCGGGGTGAACGTAGAATGGAAATTTCGACTCGAGAACGTAGATCCAATATTCAATCGCCAATTATCGAAATATGAACTTCCGATATCAATGTTGTAACTAATGTTACTTGTTAACTTTCAGTATATCTTCGTGATATTAATTAAATTAAATCAAATTTAATTAACCACATAGATATATTATTATTATTTAATTTAACTAAATTTAATTAAATTCAATTTATTCTATTAAAAAGAATAAATAAAACTTTTCTGTAATATTCTTTGAATTTTTGTTCCGCATATTCTTTGTACGTTTCCGTATATGCTCATGAAATATCAATTTTTATAAATAGTCGGAACTTCTTGCATTTTGGCTAACTTTGCCGAACTTTTCAAAATTAAAAAATGACTCCGACTGATGATATATCGAGGGTTAATACATGCGATACTTTCAATTATGCAAATGATAAATGATATGTATCGATAGCCACAAATTAAAAATACACATGACTTCATTCTCATAAACGGAAAATTGCTATCTTAGCAAAATTTAAGTCTTTCATAACATACTTAAAAATTAAAATAATATTGAAATAAAAAAATATATTTTATAGGAGATGAACAATATATTCACGACTTCTGATCAAAACCAGTGTTGTCGAAGTTATCCTCTTATCGTTTTTTATCGCGGAACTACCGCGTTATTCGCGTTACGATTTCCCCGGCGAAGGTTCGTTACATCCAGAATGATTTCTCAATACGTTCCCGATACAAGGCGCGATCGTAGCGTTAACCGCGGGTAATAACGCGCCCGTTTATTCGCGCGCAAGAATACACATTCGTTCTTCACGGTGTCTGCAAACGGCAGACGTAGCTGTCGGAGAATATCGCTCGCCGCGGAACGACACCGCGAGGCTTTAGCATAATTTATGCGCATTTAATTCGACGGCTGATAAATACCGACGGGCGAAATCTTTCCCCTTCGTCCCGAATTCACCCGTAAAGGGGAATCGAGTATTCGACGCAACTCGTTCCGGTGCAGTTCGACTGAACTGTTCGCGAGAGCGCCCATCGCGCCGGCACGACATTCGCGCTAAGCTCTTGACTCCGCCGCCAGGGTAATTCTATTTCTTGCCCGGCGCCCCGTATGTGGATAACCGATAGCGACCGGGCCAATTACCACAGTCATGCCCCCTTTCCTTCGTACCAGATATGTTCATTTCGACGTTCCGCACTCGGCGTCGATCGTATCGTGCAGCATATCATGATAGACATCGGCCGCGCTCCTTCCTTTATTTCGGCGAGGCACGTTCATGCGGCAATCATGGCAACGAAGGACTCGATTTATTTGCTTCGATAGTGCGGGACCCGCCTGTATTCCCTATCGATGAGCTCTCGTCGATACGTCGCGTTTATTCGCGGCGCCCCGATCATAATCTCTCTCTCCCCCCCTCCCTCTCTCTCCTGTCAGTCCGTGCGATTTAACGGCGACGTAGGCTCTTTTTCCTATCTTCTTTCCTCCCTTCTCGGTCGCGATTCAATTTCTCAGGCGGTGTTTTTTTCTCTCGCGCGATGTCGCAGATGGGTATTTCTTACTCGTGACGTTAGGTAAATTAAATCGCGCTCGCCCTTCGCCCCGAAGCGAACGATCGCTTCGTCCTTCGCGCAATCCACCCTGACTATCACGACGCGTACTCTCGAAAACGTGTGTTAATCCCTTACGTCGGCATTCAATCTTTTGCCGCACCCATTTTCATTGATCGCCTAACCGATGATTAAATCAATTCTAGAGAGATACAGTCATCGACACACACATAAGAATATTATATTAATAATAATTATATATATATATATGTATAAAATGCAA